TTATGGATAGTTGTTAGCTGCCATGTGGGTGCTGGGATTCAAACCTGGGTCCTCTGCAAGAACAGTGTTCTTAACTGCTGAGCCATCTCTCCAGCCCATGTGTTCTTCTGAAACATTTTAGTTGCATTCTAATTAAACTGTCTTTTATTTATTTTTTTTTTTTTGGTCATTTTGAGACAGGGTCTCCCTGTAGCCCCAGCTGTCCTGGATTCACTATGTAGAAGAGGCTGGCCTCGAACTCACAGAGATCCGCCCGCCTCTGCCTCCTGAGTGCTGGAATTAAAGGCATGCGCCACCACGCCTGGCTTCAAGCTGTCTTTTAAGAACACTTCACTCTCAAGTGTTCTGTTTTATACACAATAATGAGATGGTCCTTTCCCTTAGTGTCTCTGATGTTTATGATTTTAACTATGAACAGGATAATCTGTAGGTAACTTATTTCCAATACCCTGACTTTATTTCTTTAGGGGCGCAACACTTCATTTGAACCTTAAAAATATTCCTTGATTTTCACTTTTTGTAATTTTTTTTTTGGTAGAAATTTTTTAAAAACTCAGAACCATGAACATGCTCTAACTGGTTCTTTCTGATTGTGGTAGTGGCTATCAGCCTGTGCTCTGGGAGAAAACCATAGGCTTTGGGTGTAGCTTGCTTCTAGAAGAAACAGTGACTAAAGTGGTAATGGTCTACACCTGCTGGGAAATCTTGGGCTTTGCAAGACTATCAGGTTAATACACTTTGTACATTGTAAATCCTCAAACAGGAGGATTATGAGGTGGCTTTGCAATTTATTTGGCCAAGGACTCATTTGCTAATGAAATTTTAGAGCTCCACTGGGAAGCACTGGTCTACCCTGGGCCACTTCTATCTGCTGCACTTTCTGAACACTGCTTCTGTTTTCTAAAATAAGGATTTCACTCTCTCCCTGCAGGGAAGCTATGACAGTTTGCTTTGGGCAATGTACTTGGGCCCAGAGGCTTTTCCTGAGTGCCCTGAGACTCTAGGTATGAAATGAGTCCTTGCTGGGATAGACTCAATGCTGGGACTTTGCTACATTAAGTATGGGTTCTCAGAAGCAATTTATTTTTCTAGTTTATGATTTTGTTAATGGTAGCTAAAGCTTCTGTGTGAACAAACTTTACTTAAGAACATTCTGTTAGGTACACCCTCCCACTCATAGGTCATTAAAGAGCCTCAGAACTTGGTTCGGAAAGGGTGATGCTCCTTCTTAGGTTGCCCAGCACTGTGGGTATGCACAGTCAGACAGGCAGACATGCCAGAATTCATTCTGAGCCTCCGAAGCGGCATCTAAGTCCCCCACCCCCACCTGGCTCCAGTTCATCTGCTTGCATGAACTGCTTGAATCTCCCAGCTCCATGGGAAACTTGGTTTTCTTTCTTCATGTCTGTAACATGGGAGCCTAGATTCTTTTCCTCAAATACTCTCATTGCACTGCTCACTTCTGGTACAAGCCTCCTACCCTGCTCCTGAAGTCCTGCCCACAGAGGCTCCTCCTCCTGCAAGCCCTCTGCTCTGCTCCGCCTGCGCCCTGGCTCCCCCTGTGGGGCTGAAAGGAGCTCTGGCCATTGGGCGAGGAGACTTATCTCTTCCCTTCACGTCCCCAGGTCTCCATGGTTTCAGCTCCCCCTGCCCTGCACTAGCTCCTTGTGGTAGCATCTTAGCCTTTCCTGTTGTCTGGGGGCGGCCATCATCTCTTCCCTTCCTTTTCTCAATCTCTTGGTGTTCCTAATGGCTCTACAGCACCTGCTAGCACATCACAGCATCAAGTCCTCCGTGTTCTAAGGCACCCCGACACATTCATCTTGTGTCCTTAGCTATGTGCCCCTTTAAAGGCATGAGATTTCCCTCTCACTGATTATTGGTGCTGAAGTTTGAACACGAAGGCTCGTATGTTGGGGGCTTGGTTGGCAGCTGGTGGGCGGGAAGTGATGGATCCTGGAGGCTCTGACCTGCTTAGTGGATTCTTTTGTACACAGAGTCATACTGTGATGGCTTAGGAAGTCATGGGGACAGGATGGTGGAGATGTCGGTGGAAGCAGGCAGAGGGGCCAGTGATTCTGACGTTGTGTTCCTCCCTCCTTCTTCCTGCCTCCCTCACCTTCTTTTAGACATGAGCTGAACCACCTGCTCTAACTGCATGCTCTCTGCAACAGTGTTTCTGCCTCAGCATGCAGAAACATGGAGCCAAGGGACCTTGGCCAGAAACACTGGAAACAAAAGAAATCCTTCCTCCCTGAAGTTATTTCCTCAGGCATTTTGTCACAGTGCTGGAGAAGTCTGATAACACAATGACACATCTAATGCCATCCCCATTTAATGAGAATGTAGTGGATCATGTGGATAAGTGGTTACTGGTTATGGGGCAGGGCAGTGAAGTCTGAGGACACAATTTCATGATTTTGGGCAGAATATAGATCTCTGAGCCTCCAAAACTAAAATAGTAGCAAGAAATATCAAACACCAGCTAACTGCTAATAATCCAGGTAGTTGCTGGTAGGATTAGTTGTTGACTGGGTTTTTGAACTGTGTGACTTACAGAGCTATGGTTTTTAAGATTAGCAGAGAGAGAGAGAGAGAAAGAGAGAGAGAGACAAAGAGAGAGAGATATCTGGTTTGTCTTATTGCCACCTAGACTATCTTATTTTGGTATCTTAGATATACAAGCATGACCAGGAGTCCATATTGCTATTTCCAAATCCCTCAAAATGACCATCACAGGTGTTAGAGACTGTATTTCTCTTCAATTGGGCATTACGTTGATATGCCTTGTGTTGGAAAAATCTGTTTGGTATCTTGTAAATTGCCTATTAACTAATTCTGCATAAATTATTTATTTTCTCTTCTGCCAAAGTTAGGTTTGTGAGGGCCAGCTGCCCTGAGAGAGCAGAAGTTGGTGTGCTCAGAAGCAAGCGCTGGGCTGTGACTGAACTGCACTGTAATATTTGCCACAATTTACTCATATTTTCAACAAAATACAGTTAGTAGATTTTTCTGTGCTCAACTACATTTAGAATTGTAGCATATAACAAGTTAGGTTGGATTTTTTTTTTCAAGTAGAAAGAACATTAGAAGAAACTATGATGTTAAAGTAACAAAATTGCCATTTGGATAGTGGCTGTGTACTGACAAACACACACAGCCCAATGGGATAATTTTTTAGGTCCATGTGTTTTCACCCCACCCCGCTCTATATCTGCTTTTACACTGCAGGGTTGCCTCCTACCGTGGCGCTGTCACACACTGCTTTAGAGGAGACTACCATCGTGAGCCATTCGAATGCACTCACCCACTGCAGCATGTCTGTGCTAGGAGAACACATGGTAGAATCCAGAAAACGTATGCAGATGTGTTTTAATGAGCATCACCCCTTCACATACACATTGCCATGTAATTCAAACAACACTCCAATAATCCCAGAGCAGAAGGGAGTGGGAGTAATAAGAATCATGGGAGCTGAGAGATGGCTCAGTTGGTGAAGTCCTTGCTGCCAAGCCTGAAGACCTGATTTCAGGTCTAGCACCCATGTAAAAGCTGGAGGTGGTCATATGCCTGTAACCTTAGTTTTTGGGAGAAGGCAGGAAGAGTCCTGGGGTAAGCTTTGTTTAACTGTCTAGTAGAGTGACTCCTTTCTGAGTATATGTACAGCTGCATGTTTGAGAACGTTTCTCCATCAGACATTTTATGAAGTCACCTTATGTATAGTTTACCTTATGTTCTGGACAGAATAGACAGAGGGAACCATGCATTACACAGCCCCTAGACAGAAGTGGAAGTATGACTTGCCCTCCATCTCACCTGGAGTCACACAGGCACCCCATCAGGTACTCAGTGATTCTTTTTTGTTTTTATTTCTATGTATTTATTTTTTTGGTCTTTTTGAGACAGGGTCTCCCTGTAGCCCTAGCTAGCCTGGAACTCACTATGTAGACCAGGCTGGCCTTGAACTCACAGAGATCTGCATGCCTCTGCCTCCTGAGTGCTGGGATTAAAGGCGTGCGCCACCACGCCTGGTTCTTTTTAAAAATATTATTAATTTTATTTTATGAGTATGAATATATTGCCTCCATGCATGTAAGTGCACTCGTGTCATATAATACCCTCGGAGGTCAGAAGAAGGTGTCGGATCTCCTGAAACTGGAGTTACAGACAGTTGTTAGCTACCATATGGGTGCTGGGATTCGAACCTGGGTCCTCTGCAAGAGCAGCCAGTGCTCCTAACCACCGAACCAGCTCTCCAGCCCCAGGCACTCAATTATTCTTACTTTTAGTTTGTAACTATTCATGGGTTCATGTGTATGTAGACTTTTTATCACCAGGAAAATTCCATTCAATCCAACCATATGCAGAAGGCTGCTGTGTGCTGGGGGTGTGTCGGGTGCTCAGGGAAAGGTTTCAGAGTTGAGGTTTAATAAGCAGAACACTGAGATAGACTGTCCTTGTGGTTAAGAGGCTTATTAGAAGTTATTAAAACCTTAGACAGAGAGACAGCAGCATGGTGGGGGTCTCTGAGACCTCAGACCACACAGCAAAGTGTGTGTGGGGTTCTTTCTTAGACATTTTAGAGGAGGGAGAGGGTCTACACCACATGACTGATGGGTAGTACAGTCCACAGCATATGCTTGCAGCCAGACTGTTTCTAATTCCTAGCTGGCAGGGCTAGGGAGGGGCCTGTTAGTTCGGGGCCTGCATACAGAATGTAGAAAAAACAACTTACTTTAGTTCTAGAACCAAATCACTTTAGTTTTAGGAACTGCCAGTGTCCAACTAAAATGGAGGAGCTTTACCATGGCCGTGGCTAACGCTTCAAACATGGGGTCCATCAGAGGGAATGATGTCTGACTTGACACTTTAGAACAACAGTAGCAAACAGGAAATGTGAGAGGAGCCGGCCGTCGGCAATGAATTCAAGTACTTTAGGCTGCGTGTCTGCACACACGTTTTGGGGGCTGGCAGCAGCCTGCCTGCTCTGTGCATCTTACCTGAAGGATCTTATCCCCGGGCTGTAGTAGGTTGGATGCTGGCCCATCAGGCTGAACCCTAGTAACAAAGATACCCTATAAGTCAGAAGTAACAGAGGTTAGGAGGTTATCACCAACAACTAGGTGTACTTAAAAACATTTTCATTCATATACAAAACAGTGAAAACAGACTCACAAAATGGAAAAAAAAATCTCAGTTTATATATGCAAACTTTTAAAAGTATTAACAGTATTTTAAGTAGACCAGTACTCTGCAAAGCCAAGTTTAAGAAAAGCCACACGCAATACAAAGATGATTTTGTTTTTACGAAGTGCAATTGCAATATATACATTGACCTCATGGTCATTAACAGAAAATTTTCAATTTGAACTGACTTTTATGTAAATTCTGAATCTGCCAGAACTAGTCATGTAGTCCTGTAATCCCAGTATTCGAAAGGCTGAGGCAGGTGGATCTCAAGTTAGAGGCCTGCCGGGGCAACTTAGTGAGACCCTGTCTTAAAATAAAAAGTAAAAAGAGAGCTGGTAATACAGGCCAGATGTAGAGTTCTGGCCTACTACTACTTCATGCAAAGCCTTGGGTTCAATCCCCATAACCATAAGTAAATAAGTAAGTAAATAATAAATAAATAAATAAATAAATAAATAGATAAATAAAAGCAGAATTTGTAAGTTAGTCTATATTAAAATACTACCTATCTGACAAATTACAAATTCTCTGTTTACCTTAAAAGTTTTACTGAGAATTTTAGTATATGTATATAAACAAATCAAACATAACAATAATATGACATACATTTAAAATAAATTATATGTCTACATAATCACAGATGCCCTAGATTAATTTAGCTCATTAAAACATTGACTTAATATTTTCGTTGTTCATTCTTTGAGACAATACCTTGCACTGTACCTAGGCCAACCTGGACCTCACTTTGTAGTGCAGGCTGCCCTCAAACTCATAGCAATCCTCCTGCTCCAGCTCCCAAGAGCTGAGATTACAGTCCTGAGCTGCCATGCCTGTCAAGTTAAGTTTTTGACCATGTATATAAAGCAAATGTTTCTGGTGCCTACCACATGCTAGGCCTTGACTGCAGGTGATAAGACACGGAATGTGGTTTCTGATCCCAGCGTGCTCAGAACCTAGTGGGAAAGACGTCCAGAAGACCCGGCCACTCTAAAGTGATGCAGTGGGCACTAGGGAGATGCTGTGCCAGCTTATGCTCGGTGTGTGTGGACTTCCTAGACATGGAGGATCCCACTAGTGAAATGATAAGGGAAACATGGCAGGCTCCCATACAGATAAGGAGAGGCCACACCTCACAATGCCAGAATATCTGCTACACAGGGAAAACTGAAAGTTGTTATGGAGTGACCAGACCTCAATGGGAGGGTGGGGTGGAGGTTGGGAGTATGGCAAAGGATCCGGCCAAAGTAGTTCAGGGTCAGTTCCATGATCAGTTTTAGGGGCTACTGAAGGATTTTAGGTATTATGATCACAACATTTTAATTGATACCTAAAGGATGAGCTGATGAAAGGATGAACACAGTGTGGTACAACATGTCTATCTGTAGAACATGGTCAGTCCACACAGTGTGGCCTATCCACATAGCATGGTCAGTCTATACAGTGTGGTCTATCCACATAGCATGGTCAAATAACACAGCATGGTCTAGCCAAACAACATGATCAATCAGCATAGCATGGTCTATCCATATAACATGTTCTATCGACATCACATGATCAATCCAAAGAGCATGGTCTATACATATAGCATGACCAATCAATCAACATAGCATGGTCTATCCACACAGCATGGTCTAGCTACAGTATGGTCAATCCACACAGCATGATCAATCAATCTACACAGCATGATCAATCCACACAGCATGGTCTATCCACATAGCACAGTTGATCCACAGAGCATGGCCTATCCACAAAGCATGGTCCTAGCTACAGTATGGTCAATCCACACAACATGGTCTATCCACAGAGCACGGTTGATCCACAGAGTATGGCCTATCCATTAAAGCATGGTCAGTCCACCCAACATAATCAATCAATCTACACAGTATGGTCTATCCACAGCATGCTCAATCAATTCACCCAGCATGATCTAGGCACACAGCATGGTCTATCTAATATATTTAAAAAAGAAATCTAAATCAAATTATTTTTACTTGTGTTTTAATTTAGCATTTCAGATCTTTATGAAAGTAAATTCTTAATGATGCTGAGTAGCTTTTGTTTTTCTAATTTGAATACTTTAAAATTAAAGATAATTATTACAGACAGAAAATTCCATATCTTTTAGCATACTAACTAGATTCCTAGAACTTATCTTAAGCAAAAAACTGGCCAAATATGAAATATCCACATACCAATACGATCATAATATTACTTGTAATAACAAAATAATAGATTACAGCTAAATGTCTAACAATGGGTTACTAGTGCAGAAATCATGGTGAATCCATAGAGTGGAATGTTACTTGTTCTAGATGGCTGATAGAAGCACATGGATGTTTAGTGAGCCAGCAGGTTGAACACATTGAGGCTGATACTGTCTGTACTGAAATGTGTTGCGTGTGCATTTGAGGGGGGAGATTCAGAAGACTGTCTCCTAAACACTGGGTGGTGAGACTGGGGTTGTGGGACATAATTTTTTCCATTTTTCTATATTGATTATGTATACTTAACAGCATCAAGAAAACAAGTTGCAGAAGACCCAGGTTCGAATCCCAACACCCATATGGCAGCTAACAACTGTCCATAACTCTAGTCCCAGGGGATCTGACAGCCTCTTCTGACCTCTGTGGGCATTGCATGACATGGGTGCACTTACCTACATGCAGGCAATACACGCATACACATAAAAAAAAATCCAGAGCCAGAGAGAACACTAATGCCTCTCTCAACTCTCACCAGCGAAGCTTCCCCATGCAACAGAGGGTGATGCACAGAGAAGGCCACAAGTAGACAAAGTGCAGAGAATAAGAGACTGCAGAGTGCTTGACCCTGCATAGGGCTCCTATTTAAATGTCATCCACCCATGGCTCAGGGACCACTGTGGAAGTGGGGGTGGGAAGACTGTAATGGGCGGATTGGTGCGTGATTATAAGGAAACAGAGTTTTCCTTGGGGACCTTGCTCATATGAACTTACAGCAATGGTGACAGCATGTACAAGACCCATGCTGACTCAATCAGACAAAAACCCAGCATAGAACTGGGGAAACAGGCAGCAGGCCCCAACCTTAGCCAAAGAACTGTTAGTAGCTGACTCCCTCACCCAGCACTGGGTGAGGGAGAGTTGATATTCTTTAAGGGAATGATGCTACATAGGCTGACTAGACTCCAGTGGATGAGCTTGCACCAAAGGTCATCTTAGTACACAAACTTGACTCACTAGGCTTTAACATATATGACAGAATACATGAAATCTGGTGGTGGTGGGGCTATAGGGGTGTGCAGGTAGGGAAGGTGCTCTACATATTGTATGGAATGCACAAAATTCAATAAAAATACATTGAGAAAAAAAAATTAGAGCCAGTATGGTGGCACACACCTGCTACCCCAGATCTTGGGAGGCTGAGGGAGAAGATTTCAAATTTGAGGCCAGGTCTCATCACTTAGTGAGGCCCTGTCTTTAAATAAACCGCATTAAAACATGCTTTGGGTATTGTTCAGTGGTAAAGCTCTTGCCGAGTGTGTTCAGTTTCCAGTGCCGTCAATCATTAACCGCAGAGACTCTCACCTGTGACTCCAGCACTCTGAAGTCTGAGGAAGGAGGGTGGCTGTGAGTCTAAGGTCACCATGAGCTACATATTGAGTCCCAGGCCAGCCTGGGCTACAGTGTGAGACCATGTCTCAAAAGCAAGCAAACAAATTAAAAAAAAAAAAAAAAAAGCCAAACCAAACCAAACCAAGAAATCAGTTTTGCCCACTTTAGCTATAAAATGAAAAACTGAGATTGAAACTAGTTGTTTGAAAGACTGAACGTGGCTCAGTGTCGACCTCCCTGGGCACTGCATGGTACTGGCACTATGTGATAATAAACAGAGACCCTGCAGTCCTTTCCACCTCTGATGCACGACTCACGACTCGAATGCACCATCCACCCACCGACTGTGGCTGATTGCATTCAGCCCCCAGGGACACTCCCCTCTTCACCTCCAGGCTCTCTGTAGGACAGGCAGAATGACAGCATCACCCCAAACAAGCTGCTACTTCTCTGGGTGCTAAGGTAAAGTTTCGACTTTTCTTTCATCCTGGCATGAACGATTGCCACTCAGTCAATCCTGATTGCCTTTCTTCAGCTCACTGTGCAGGGCAGTTTAATAAAGTTTGCATGAATCAAAGCCATAGGGGCTAAATTACACCTTCACGTCCACAATGCTGGCATCTGACTGCTCAGAACAAAGAGGTGGTAGGTTTACTCTCACTGGCCACGTGACCCTGCAGGGCTCCACTGCTGTTCTGAGGACTTGCTCTGAGATGGACTTTTATGGAGGCTGAGCCTACTAAGAGTTTCTTTCTTTATTTTTCCCAAAGCTTTATTATTTCTTTCCCATCAATAAACATCATAAACAGGAAGCTACCACTGCTAGTGTTTCCTTTCTCTTTCTTTTGCCTGTTACCAGCACACGGTCACACCAAGGGAATCAGGCAGCTGCAAGGGTGACTTTGTATCTTTTTGAGACAGGGTTTCCTTGTAGCCCCAGCTGGCCTAGAACTCACTATGTAGAACAGGCTGGCCTCCAACTCACAGAGATCTGTCTGCCTCTGCCAACTTTGTATCTTTTAAAAACTTGTTTATTTTTATGTGTACGAGTGTTTTGCCTGCATGTATGTAAGTGTACCATGTGTGTGCAATGCCTGTGGAGGACATAAGAAGGCATGGATTCCCTGGAACTGGAGTTATGGGCTGTTGTTAGCTGCCATGTAGGTGCTGGGAACCAAACCTGGGTTCTTTGCAAGAGCAGCTGGTGTTTTTAACTGCTGAGCAATCTCTCCAGCCCCAAGGGTGACTTTTGATAACAAGCTGAAGAATACTTTGTCACTGGTGACAGAATT